CCGGCTGATTTTTTTATTTATTGTAGAGATGAAGTCTCGCCAAGTTGCCCAGGCGGGTCTCGAACCTGCAGGCTCAGGCAATCCTGTACTTTACATTTCTAAATGAAATGTTGAAAAAAGGAGGTAAAAAAATTCTTAACTGATGAGCAAGTTTTTATATGAACAATAACCAAGACCTAAATACTTAAAACACTAAGATCACTGAGATTCATTCTTTCAGATTTTTCAAAGGAACCATTACATGGTACAAATGAGTTTAAAACTTACAATTCAATACATGTTATCAAGTCAAATCCAAGCAAACGAGAATCCTTTTCCACAATAGAGCCATGATATAATGTGATAGTCAAATCCAGGTCCCGGGGACTCAGATAATGCCCTATGAAGGGAGATAACTTATGCCTGCAAAATAACCATTACAAAAATAAGAAACATTCTGAACACAGTATTTTTTAAAAGTTCTCACCAGCTACAGAACTCTGATAATAATCTTCTACCTACATTGATATAAGTCTGATATGTCCAGTTTTCTTTGTCCTGAAATACCAAAACTTCCTCTCACAATGGGAAGTTACCGGACAATGGGAGCAAGACTTTGAATTTTTTTTTTTTGGTCCTGTTTTGTCTTGTTTTTTGAGTTGGAATCTCACTCTATCGCCCAGGCTGGAATACAGTGGCATGCTCACAGCCATCACAGCCTTGACCTGCTGGGCTCAGGCGATCCTTCCACCTCACCCTTCCAAGTAGCCGGAACTATGGGCACGCGCAACCATGCCCAAATAATTTTTTGATTTATTGTAGAGATGAGATCTCACCAAGTTGCCCAGGCTGGTCTTGAACCCGTGGGCTCAGGCAATCCTCTCACCTTGGCTTCCCAAAATGCTGGGATTACAGGCTTGAGCCACCGTGCCTGGCCTTGTTTTTGTTTTTTTGAGTCGGGGTCTCACCCTGTCGCCCAGGCTGGAATGCAGTGGCATGATCACAGCTCACCACAGCCTCAACCTGCTGGGCTCAGGCAATCCTTCCATCTCAGCCTTCCAAGTAGCTGGGTGTCAGTGGTTTTCAGATTTTTGTTCTTTAGAAGAAAAACATTCTTAGGACACAATGTTCACTATCTGGGGAACGGGCTACCTGAGACGCAACACCTACCACTACACAATATGTTCATGTAGTGAAAACACGTGTACCCCCTAAATCGAAATAAAATAAATTCTTGAAATAAGCTGTTGCAATCTAATTCACATATATACACAAGACATGAGAAACACTACAGTTCAATACAGAGTAGCGGGCCTGAAGCCTTGGTCCAGAGTTCTGGGACATTTTAAATCATCTGCTATATATTATCAGTGTCTGGCATTAAAGTGACGTGATTTTGCCATCTGCAACTGAATCTGCAATGCTTTGATTGTTATAATGACTTAATTGAGTCTATAATTCAAGTTGGTGGAAACAAAATACAGGTATGATTAGTGTTAGGCAAACCCTGCTTGCTCAGTGAGCTGGAGACGCCCAAATGGTCCCAATCTTTTAAAACAAGTTGCGTAAAATTAACACTTTCTAAGTGTAATTAATGAGCACAGCAGTTTTAGACAAATGCATAATTACTGCAGAAACTAAGTATTACCTTCTCCTCTGTAATGTATCCTTATTGATATCTACTCCAACAAGCAGTTCAATGCACGGACAGACTCTCAGCAGCGTCATAAGTGAAGTGTCACCACATCCCAGGTCTGCAACCTGCAGATGAAACAGAATGTGATTCCAAAGACACAGAGAGCTGGAGAAGTAAAGGATGATCAAAAACTTTTTTTGGAGGGGCAAAGGGAGGAGTCCACATCAGTAATAACATAGTAATAAAACAGTGATATGGAAGGATCTTTTTGGTAGAACTGTACAAAAAAAAACCAATCTGAGACTTTATAAGACTGTGGGCAAATAGGTCTTTTTTTGGTTTTTTTTTTTAGGTCTCGCTACATTGCTCAGGCTGGTCTCAAACTCCTGGGCTCAAGCAATCTCCTGCCTTGATTTCCCAAAGTGCTAGGATTTTAGGCTTGAGTCACTGTGCCTGGCCCAAATAAGCATTTCTATTGGATCAAAGTCATCCAGAGCCACTCCTATTCCAGAACAATTGCTATGGCCAATATGGGACTAATGAAAAACAATTAGGTACACACTGCCTTCCCATTCAGAATAAGAACTTGTGGTGGCACTGGTGATGTAATGGTGAGCATAGTTGCCTTCCAGAATAAAAGCTTAGGGTCTTAAATATTCTCAGCATCAGCCAGGCTCAGTGACTCAGCCTGCAATCACAGCATTTTGGGAGGCCGAGATGAGTGGATTACCTGAGCATGCGGGTTCAAGACCAGCCCAGGCAATTTGGCAAGACCTCATCTCTACAATAAAAATTTAAAAAATTAGCAGGATGTGGTAGCACACATCTGTAGTTCAGGCTGCTTGGAAGGCTGAGGCAAAAGGATCGCCAGAGCCCAGCAGGTCGATGCTGTGGTGGCCGTGAGCGTGCCACTGCACTCCAGCCTGGGCGACAGTGAGATTCCAACTCAAATAAATAAATAAGTAAATAAATAAATAAAAATAGATATTCCCAGCATCATATTTCAGTAAACAAAGCTTTCTAAAACTTTACTTTCATTCATTTCTCACACATGGAAGGCATTCACTTAATTTTTATTTGTTTAAACAATTGAGTCAAGCCATCTGAAATTCCACATTGAAGTCTAAGCTGCCACAAAGGCAATGTTAGGTGCTTAACTGAACACACGTGCCTGAATGGCTGCAAAGATATAAACAAATACTGCACATAGGTGTGCACGTGCAGACACAATGGCAGTGCATGTAAAATAAGGAAGGCTTCAAACAGAGGAATGGTCCCTGGTCTTCAGCATCAAGCAGAAAAAGCCCCTTTCTGAATAGATGCTTCTCAAAAGATGACATGCAGGTGGCCAACAAACATGAAAAAATGTTCCATGTCATTAACATGGAGAACATTAAAACTACAATGAGGGCTGGGCGCAGTGTCTCACGCCAGTAATCCCAGCACTTTGGGAGGCTGAGGCAAGAGGACTGCCTGAGCTCAGGGGCTTGAGACCAGTCTGAGCAACATGGTGAGACCTCATCTCTACAAAAAAACATAAAATTAGCTGGATGTGGAGGTGTGTGCCTGTGGTTCCAGCTACTTGGAAGGCTGAGGCAGAAGGATCACCTGAGCCCAGCAGGTCAAGGCTGTGATGGCCGTGAGCATGCCACTGCACTCCAGCCTGGACAACAAAGTGAGACGCTGACTCAAAAAAAAAAAAATTCAAATCATACACAATTATAGATAATATATCATCTAATGGCTCTGCTAAGATAGAAATATACACATGATCACACCCTAGTCCCACTTCTCAAAGATAGTCACTGTTAATAGTTGGTACATGTTTCTATATTCTCTCCATAGATAATTTTTTTCTGAGTCAGAGTCTCACTCTGTCGCCCAGACTGGAGTGCAGAGTTACACTCCTGGGCAGTGCAGGCTGCTCGTGATGGGCTCAGGCGATCCTTTTGCTTCAGCCTTCCAAGTAGCAGGAAATACAGGCACGCGCCACCACACCCAGCTAATTTTTTGATTTATTGTAGAGAGGAGGTCCTGCTGC